TCTTCTTCTTCTCTTTCCACAACCACAATATTTGAAACAAAAATTTATCAAACAGAAGGATTCAATATGCATGGAAATTACTAGAGTTATTAAAGAAAAAAAAATCTATAAATATGGGTTTCAAAACCTAGAAATTTGAGTTTCTTGAACCCATGTTGATATTGTTGGGTTCCACAGAACCTAAAACTGGGTTTAAACAAATCCAAATTGTTGGGTTCCACAGAACCTAGAAAGGTTCATGGGTCTTGAAAACAACTATTGTGAACCTCTTCATTTGACATATAGAAAACTTGTTCTTTTGAATGTAGAAATATCATGGTATTAAAACGTTATTTGATAATGTGAAGTTCTTACCAACAATTTGTATCTCATGCAGGACTCATAAAAAGCAGTCCTAACTATTTGATATTAGATTGAGACAAATAGAAATCCATGCTTTTGGGTGAAAGTAAGCAAGTAGTGATTCACACTCAGCTTTGATAAACTAGGCTTCATCTCCTCTTACGGAACCCAGATTTGGGTTCAAACAAACCCATCATCTAAATTTCAAATGAACCTAGATTCTTAGGTTTGATTGAACCTAGATTAGAACTAGGGTTCGCATGGAGGGGAAGAAGGAGGGGAAGAAGGAGGGGAAGAAAGGAAAGGCAGGAAGAGAAAGAGTGCTTGAATCCTTGCTGAAGATGAAAAGGTGTTTGCCATTAATGGAGAGGACTTTGAAAATGTTATGATGTGGAAGGAATAAAGAACGAGAGAGAGAGGTGAAGAAGAAGGAAGCCAGAAAAAGGGGGAAGATGAATTAGGGAAACAAAGAGGAGAGTAAAGGTAGAAGATGGAGTAAGTAGTAAATTTTTCATTTTAAACATATTTTGATTTAATAAATAATTAATTTAGGTAAGTGGGTTCCTTAATTTTCCAAATAGGATTAACAAGGATGCATAATTTATCCACGTCATTAAAACAAATAAAAGAAATGCCACACGTCTAAGTTAACGGCTTAAACTAATGGAATGATCAAAATTACTAACAGATGGATCAAAATTATGCAGTTTTTAGAGTTGAGAGATTAAAAAAATGTAAAAAATAATTGAAGGACCAAATTTAGCATTTAACATTACATAAACTATGGAGAAAAAATATTTAATATTGCAAAAAAGGGATAAATTGGGATTAATTAATTTAAAATTATTAATTTAAAATTAAATTTAAAAATTAAAATTTTTATGTTACTAAATATTTAATACTCTAATATACAAAAAAATAATATTTAATATCTTGATGTTATTTAATAATTTAAATTATGTAAAAGTTTAAACTTCTTTAATATTAAGTAATTAATTAAGTAATTAACCCTTTAATGTATTAAAAAATTAACAATAGTTAATATCTTAACATTATTTAATAGTTTATATTATAGGGCTTCATTTCAAGCTTTTAAAGGGTAGACCAATAAATGGTACAACTGTGTTTCTTTTAACTCAATAATGGTAAAATTATTAGAATACCCTTATAGTAACAAAGGAAAAAAATCCAAGTAATTTGAAAATGAATTTTTTTAAGATTTGCCGCTAGATATATATTAAGAGTATAATTAATATATATTTTAATACTTAGTTTACATAAAATTAAAAAAATTAATATTAATTTTAATATCAATATTACCTATATAGTTTTAATGGAATGATTAATAAACTAAAATTTAGTTTTTATATTTTTAATGAATATAAATTGTTAAAAATATTAATTATACCTTTGATTTGCATATGTTACAAAAACCCTTTGATAATAAAAAAAAATGCGACGTATCGATCCTAGCAGGTTGAATAAAGGCCATTGTGATCCATTTTCCTTTTTAGGTAAATTTATTATTTAGTCTCTACTTTTAACAATATAAATTTATTTTAGCCCTCTTATTTTTAGTTAAAACTAATATAAACTAATCGTACTAGTATATACAATTTTTAGGGTTTTGTGACTAGGGTATTAGGGTTTAGTATTTAAATTTTTTTTAAGATTTAGTATTTAAGGTATTTGGGTTTAAATTGTTTGGATTCTATATTCTATGATGTTAGAGTTTAAATTTGTTGGGTTTTACATTTTATAATATTAGGGTTTATATTTTTTCAAATTTAGTATTTAATGTGTTAACATTTATATTTTTAAAGCTTATGATTAATATTTAAAAAATTAGTTGTTTAATAATCTAAAAGTTAAAAATTAAAATACCAAGAAGTGAAATTAAAAATTTTAGACTTCAAGAAAAAAAATTAAAAAAATCTATTGAAAACCAATTAGTTTTTATAGCATTACTCTTTACATAAATGTATTTTGCAGTAAAATTGTCAAATTATCAAAGGGTAATCCCTAGCATCATAAAATATAAAAGTCAAATAATTTAAATCCAAACACCTTAAATATTTTATCTTAACAAATTTTAAAACTTTAAACACTAAACCCTAACGCCCCTAAATGCAAAACCCTAAAATTTTAAACCTTAAAAAATTAGTTTTAATTAATTTTAACTTAAAAAAAGTAAGGGGACTAAAATGAATTGATTTTGTTAAAAATATGGACTAAATGATAAATTTACCCTAAAAGAAAAAGGAAATCTATCACAATCGGCCTTTGTTCGGCCTCCGAGGGGTCGGTCCCCCTTAGCGTTTTCCCTGTGTAAACACGGCAGTTGATAAAAGAAACCCTTGGCTGTGTCTCAAGTCGTGAACTAGGAACTGGACTGAAGTGAAAGCAAGGACGAAATCGGTGGACCCACATACGACGGAATCCTCCACAATCCAAGAGGCTGGCTGCGCCCATGGTATCATCCAACGGATTCACCATACTGTGTGGTTTTGGAGGAGTACAAGGAAGGAGGAAATACCGTCTCTGTCTTCCTCAAAAGCTTCAGTTTCCTTCAAAGGTATTTCCTTTCACCTAATTTAAAATTGGTATTCTTCTTCCTTTAATTTTAAACTTTCAATTTGGTGGGTTTTGGTCTATTTTGTTCTTGGTGTTTAAGATACACATACAGTCGGTAATTTTTTTTTTCCTCCTTCCCCTGTGTTGGTGTGTGTTTCTTTTATTTTTTTTTGGTGACCAATGTTAGGGTGGGTTCTGTGCTTCGAATTTTCAAAAACCCAAAAACCTAAAACCCATATGCTCGAAGCCAAAATAAAATTTGGAATTTTTATTGCAATAATAATGAGGGCCTTTGTGGTGATTGAAATACAATTCTCTTCCTTCACCTTGTTGAGTGCAGAAGAGAGATAAGATGACATTCAATTGGATGAATTTTGAATATGAAGTTCGAATTCATAGTTAGTTGATAATTCTCCATCTTGCTCAATAGTTAATCAGGGCTTAATACATATACATATGCATATCTTTTTAAGGTGATGGACTAAACTTTCAGTGGGCCAACACCATTTTAAGCATGGGAGGGCGAGGATTGATAGATGGTGTTTGGGAAAAGGATTCGTTGGTACTTTTCCATATGGTTTGTCATGGATAAGATGAATTAAGATATATTTTTGCCAAGGAAAAAGAAAAGTGTATGCAATGTAGAGGTTTCATTTTAATTTTTGTGAAAAGAAAAAAAAAAAGTCAGTTGTTTCAAAACTTGCATGACTCTTGCAATGCTTTAGATAAATCTAGGTCCTTAACATGAATGGCTTTCTATTTTCTTATTGAGCAGTGTAATTTGTGTGCGCTAATTTTCTTGGGTGATAATTTCCATACTAGTGACAAGCATGCTGTGATGGTGTTTACGTGCATGTATTTAGCTGCAACCTGTGTCAGACTTACTGTTTTATTAATTTTTTTTATTTTTATTTTTTGTTGTTGTATTTGCAGCTAAAGCTTGTCTAAAGCAATTAACTTGTTTAAGAGAAAATCTGGGATTTTGACATAGACCTTGGGAACTTTTATGAATTCTTATATCTTTTAACTTCAATAAAAATGGCTGCTGAAGAAGTTCTTGTTAATGTTCATGATCATGGTAAAATTGTGGATACGCAAAAGCATAGAGTCCAATGCAATTATTGTGACAAAGAAATGAGTGGCACCACCCGTCTTAAGTACCACTTGGGAGGTGTACGAGGAGATGTGACTGCTTGTTTAAAAGTTCCTGAAAATGTGAAGGAATTATTCAGAAACCTGCTAGAAACAAGAAAAGGAACACCTGGAAAGGAAGTTAAGGGGCTGTTTCAACAAGATCTCACCCGGAAAAGGAATCGGTGCCCCAATTCAAATGGTTTCAAGAAAAGCAAGGGTGGAGCAGCTCAAACATCTAATTTTGCCAGTGGGAACTCTACAGAAACAGATTCTGTATCCGAAGATGGCATGAATGAACCCATTGTACTTCATTCCAGAAGGGCAGTTTCACAAACTGCAGTTAATGCTGACCAGAATGAAGATTCATCATCTCAGCAAGCCAAAAAATGCATTGCTAGATTTTTCTATGAAACAGGTATTGATTTCAGTGCAGCAAATTCATCAAGCTTACAGAGGATGATTAATAGTACTATTGGTTGTAGCCAGACAAAGTATGGGATTCCGAGTAGTCAGGAGCTGAAAGGGTGGATTCTTCAGGATGAAGTGAAGGAAATGCAAGAATATGTGAAGAATATCAGACAGTCGTGGACAAGAACTGGATGTAGCATCTTGTTGGATGGATGGATTGATGAAAAGGGTCGAAACTTGGTTAGTTTTATTGTGGATTGCCCACAGGGCCCAATTTACCTTTGGTCATCTGATGTCTCAGCCCATGTTGACAATATTGATGCATTACATTTGCTACTGGATGGGGTTATTAAGGAGGTTGGGGTTGAAAATGTGGTTCAAATTGTTGCCTTTTCTACAACTGGTTGGGTGGGAGCTCTGGGCAAGCAGTTCATGGACAGGAACAGGACTGTATTTTGGACTTTGAATGCATCTCACTGTATAGAGCTCATTCTAGAGAAGATAGCAATGATGGACAAGATCAGAGAGACATTATCTAAAGCCAAGATTATATCAAAGTTCATTCATGGCCACCCAACAGTATTGAAGCTTTTGAGAGATTTTACTGGGAGTCATTATCTAATTAAGCCTTGCAAATTAAGGTCGGTGATGCCTTTCTTGACTCTGGAGAATATGATATCAGAAAAGAAAAGCCTGAGTGTGATGTTTGCATCATCCAAGTGGAAAACCTCTATTTGGGCTTCTAGAACAAAGGGAAAGAGAGTAGCTGATTTGGTGGGAGATTCTACTTTCTGGAAAGGAGCTGGGATGGTTATAAAGGCAACTCTGCCTCTAGTTCGTGTTTTATGTTTGATCAATGGGGCTGATAAACCACAAATGGGGTACATATACGAAACCATGGATCAAGTGAAGGAAACGATTAAAGAGGAGTTCAAAGGCAAGGAATCCCAGTATATGCCCATTTGGGAAGTGATTGATGAGATTTGGGATGGTCAACTCCATAGTGCTCTTCACGCTGCAGGTTATTATTTGAATCCAAGTCTCTTCTACTCAACTGATTTTCATAGCGATCCCGAGGTTGCCTTTGGCCTGCTCTGTTGTATGGTCCGTCTGGTACTAGAACAGCGCATCCAAGATCTCATTTCTAGACAACTTGAGGAATATAGAAATTCTAGAGGTGCTTTTAGTGAGGGGAGTACTGCAAAACAAAGCAGCAAATTTTCTCCAGGTAAGGAAATTTTATTTCTTCCCCTTGCGCATTTCTTAAATGTTTAGGTTTTAAGTCTGCTGGAAGCCTAGAAACTAAAATTTTGAAATTTATCATTCTCAATTGCGGCTGCAGCATCATGGTGGTCTCTTTATGGAGGACAATATCCTGAATTGCAACAATTTGCCACTAGAATCTTGAGCCAGACGTGTGCTGGTGCTTCAAAATATAGGCTGAACAGGAGTTTAGCAGAAAAGTTGCTTACAAACGGAAGGAATCCTCTTGAGCAGCAAGTATTGAGTGATCTGGCATTCATTCATTATAATTTGCAATTACAGCAGCAGCATTCTGAGTTAGGTGGAAACTATGAGATTCTTGCCGAGGACATTGATCCAATGGATGATTGGATTGTAGATGATACTGAGGAAGAAGCTATTATTAATGGGGAAAGGTCATCCCAGTTTGAAGCTAAGGAAGAGCCCAAGTAAGATTAGATATGTTATATGAATTTGTAAGAATGTATCTTGTACTAAAATATGTAGTGTTTTCAAGCTTCTTTTCTTCTTCTTTTTCCCCCCCTTAGTTTATGACAATTTGAAAGTAATTGTTGGAGCTCCCATAGGGTTTGGTTTAGGATTTACCTCGTCGAAGTGTTCAATTCTGTTTCACTGAATATTTTGTTTTTCCATTTCAAGCTTATATAGATACAATCTTATTTTACAATTACAACAAGTACTGATCATTGTTATGTATCATTAAACGAGTGAATTTGCAAATACATACCTAGATGTGGAGCAGAAACTGGAATAAGATGGAGAATGTATGTGTTTTGGTTGGTTTATGGAAAATTGGTGGTGTTTTGGTCGGTGTATTCGAGCAAGCTTTGGTGTGAACTGGATGGGTGTTCTGCAGAACGAATCAGGGATGACAATATCTTGCAGCGATTTTTGTCCCCCATTTCCGTCTCGTCCTCTACAATACAGATAATTTGTCACACACATCGGCAGGCAATGTAAATACCCGTGACATAACTAGATTATTTGACTTTTGAAAGATAAAATGGGATGGGGGTCCGTGCCACTTTTTTTTTTTCGATGAAAGCCGTTTTATTTTTTAAAAATAAATAGAAACTCTTTTTATTTTTTATTGTATGTGTCCAAGACTAAGAGGTTGTAGACACCCCCCAATAACAACAGTGCAACCATATGGCGGTGCATGTGATTCTTTTGTAATTTGATTGTATATCCACTTTAAATCATACGTGGAGTACAACACCTAACTAAGTGCATACACTATAATACATAAAATTAAAAAAAAAAATCATAAAAATCTATTTATATAAAAACTTGAACTCATAAAATTAAGATTGAGGAATCTTAATCTTTCAATTTTTAATTTGTAGATTTGAGATCTGATTAATGAGTTTACTTAATTGAATTAACATAGAAACATCTAGTTTAGTTAATATTAACATTAGCACAAGCTGAATACTATTATAAACAAGAAGAAAAAAAAAATTAACACAAGTTAAATTGATTAGATATTTGCCCAAAAAAAAGTTAAAAGGGTTTGATTGAACCTTATAAAAGATGAAGGACTGAATTGAACCTTTGTTACAAGTAAAATGACTTATTTAAGTATTTGACCTCAGTATTAATTGCAATATCAATTATTACTCATTTATGTAAGTTTCACACTAGTTGGAGAAGAAATAATAGCGATGGTGTAATTGCAAATGGGGTGTTATTAGTGCCTCATAATTTCAAATTTCAAACACAATTCTGATTTTCTGAAAAAACATTGAGTCTTGTGCGCTGTCTTGAGCCGTTTCCACAACAACAGAGGCATCGCCCCACTACCCTTCTCTCCACATACAGACGCACTTCCTATTATTTTATTTTAATACCATTCTCATTTCTTATCGAGTTGGTCAACCGCTGCAAGACAAATCCTTTGTCAGATTATGTGTTTTGGAAGTAGTTCTAGATTCTCTCCACCCTCTGTTTTCTCTGTTTGAAATCTCTTCTACCATTGTAAGTAGCTCAACTCTGTCTCTGTCGTATTCTCACTCTCCAGGTTTTTTGAATTCTAACATTGAAACAATATATAAAAAAGAGGGAAGAGTTCTGAGCCCTCTGACCAAGTGACACTGCGTGCACAGTTGACGAATCGCGAGGGAGTAGAAGAATCTACCATTTTCTCTTTCTCGGCGAAGTTGGATTCTGGGTACTTCATTGTTTTTCAACTTCTTATCCCACCGTCAACGGAGCTGGGACGATCTAGTTCCTTTTGTTAAGGTTTCCTGATTCCTGCTTCTCCCTCTTCTTTCCATTTATTGTGAAAATGAACTTTTGGGTTTCACGCCTTTTTTTTTTTTTTAAATTCTCTTTCTCTCTGACTCTGCATTAAGGTTGGGTACTTAGTAGTGGGTCTGTGTGGTTTTATTGCTTTTGTTATAGTGGTTTAGATATTCAGAAAATGGGGACGCCATTATTGCTGAAAGTTGAGGTCCAGATGAATGTGAAAACTATTAGTTCTTGGAAAGCAGGGACCACAACGATCCGTCCTTCGGATTGTTCATTGTGTTGTTATTTTTTCTGAGCAATTCGTTTTATGATTGCCCTACAGACTCTAATTTTTATTCTACCTTTTTGAATGGGGCCATAGTTTTTTTTTTTTAGTTGGAAGCTTTTCTCCAGAAAAATCCCTTAATTGCTTTTATCTTTTGACTCACTGCTCACCCACTCTTTTGAAAGATCAGTTAGTAGGCTCTCCATCTTTACTTTACATATTATCATCAAAATTAATTTCCTTTTGTTGACAATGTGTATGGATGCAGTAAAAGTGACCTTGTGTGCCCATAATTCAGCTTTGAAAAACTTTTGGGGATTCCTGAAATGCTGTCTTTCGTTTCTGGTTGCAGTGGAAACTAATTTTGTCTTCATAAGTGGCAGTGAGAGAGATACCCCACATCTTTCTTTTTCCGTTTCATTGTTTGCATATTCTTGCATCTAGTCATCTTCTTTTCTTTTTGTGAACAATCATATCCTCATAATATTAAAATTTTTTCCTGCTTTTGCTTTAGCTCTGATTTTCATAAAGTGGGATTGGAATCTGCAGATGGCTGTTGTGAGAAATATTTGCAAAGATTTTTACTTTTCAATTCTTCCTTTTATGGCTTTATGAATTATGATCTTTCTTAAGTTTTTTGTTAGTTGTTTGCCTTTGCTCAATGTAGGAACTAATTAATTTCAAAGTTGCTCGTTTTTGTCATATGGTTGTCTTGAAAATGACTGGTAGCTGTGCATTCATTTAGTTTGTTCGTCCTTATTACAAATTCACAAGTGGTATAGTACTTTCGCAAATATTCAACTACTCCTTATGCCCTATCTTTTACGCTATCTGAAGAATATTGATGGGAAAATATAAATTTTTCCTCTCAAATTGATATGTTAATTTATTATCTAGGCAGTTGATTTTTAGGGTGAATCTGCAGGTTTTAGGATGCTTGTTTGTATATGGGCATAGAGAGGACAAGGGTGCTTGGAAAAATCCATGATGTACTTTATTTGATACATGTGATTTCTTCTCATGATCGCAGGATGTGTGACAGACCAGCTCAGAAACCTGCTTTGAGCAAGTGAGGCACTCTTGTTCCTTAATCCTCTTCTTTCTTTTGTTACAAATGGATCGCAAGGTTCTATGTCATGACATTCTTTTCTTCTTTTCCTTCAAATGACATTTTCTGCAGAAATGGTTCTGTCTCCCAATGTTCATATGCTAAGGGGATTTATTCTGATTCTGGAGCTCATTCAGATATTTTGTATGATTCTCAAAGCAAAAACTCATCCTTAGAGGTCAGTGCTGGTTAATTTTTCATTGTGATAGATCTAGGGCTTGAATTCATATAAATGCACGTAAATACTGCTAACGACATTTTATGAACAAGTAGTGGCAGTTTTAGTCTTGAAAGGCCCCTGCTTATTTAGGCCATATGGTTGGTTTAATGGAATTGTCCTCTTTTTTTTTTTTCCTTCAATATTTATACTGATAATTTCCAGAAAAAAAATATTTTTGCTGGTAGTTCAATATGAATAAAATGTTGTACTTTTTATTTATTTAAAAAAAATTTTATATTCATCACTGGATGAAAAAAGAATTTCTCTGATTTTAGTTTTTAGTTGACTAAGTCCAAAATTTCCCTTTTCTCTCTTCAAAGTAGGGTGTTGAGCTGGTATTCTATGGGAGTACTTGTTGCCTCTAGTTTTCTATTAACTTTTTTTTTTTTTTGTTTGAAGTTGATCAATTGATTGTTAATTATCATGTTTTCTTGTTCCCTCTTCCTTTTGTTTCATCTTGTTTCTTATGGTACTGTTTGGCTTAAATTGAAAATTAATGGTGAATATATTTAGGTGAGGAATTTTGATGAAGAGACTGGTAGTGTTCGATTGTGTGTTAAAAGCAGAAGCAGTTATTCTAATCCTTACAAGGTTCAACTGGAGCACGAGGTAAACTTCTTTGCACTAGCACTTGGGGCAATGACACAGCTAGGGAGATTCTAACTGGGACATGTCTATTGCTAAAAACTAGGACACTATTCTTTAGTTTCATGGTAGTTGCTTCAAATTTGAAGGAATGGAATGGCTCAAGAAGTGGCTTTCATGATACTTTGTCGGATGAAATTCATTTTCTTTGACAAGTAGTCAATTTTTCTGAGTGTTTATATTAATAATAGGAATGAAAATTTATTGAAAAAATTCATGAGGTCTCTTTCACGCATTTTCTTAGATGAACTGATAAACTATATTTTTTTTTTTCACATGTTATCCTGAAAAGAGTCTGATATTTTCTCTCAGTTTTTTTGTTGTCATGTGCTTGACTGCTAGAATCATCTTGTTTTTGTCTCTTCCACTGTTCCATGGGACTGATTGTGAAAGCTTACCCAAGGCACATGTTCATTCTTGATTTATTCCTAATAAGTCTCTGTTCTACCAGGTTTGTAGATTACAATGGCAGCTGCAAGAAGAGATGGAATTGCATGCAGTTCTGGAAAATGCTATTCAGGAAAATGAAATACAACTCTCTAGTTCTTCACACCTCCCACACCACGTATGTTACTTATTTTTGGTTTTTATTTGTAATTAGCAGTGGCATTGATTTTTCTATCTAAATTAAATAAAAAGAAATAGTAACCTTGAAGTATTTTATTAGTATTTCAACTTTTCTTAATATTTTCAAGTCCAATCTTATATATATGCATGCCACATTTTTCTTTAATAGACTGTATTGTCTGCTACTGCTACATTCTTGGAAATATGTTTGGGTACTTAAAACCAAACCAGTTTTTGAAATTTAGTGCTAGAGATAATAAGTAGTTGGGCTGCTTATATAGATATTATGTCGTGTAATCAGGATCAAGTTCCCATACTTCAACTAAATGAAAAGGATTGTATGGTCATGTACTCATTGTTTTCAATTGTAATAATTTCCCTCTCAACTGAAACTTTCACACTGCAATGAGGAGATCTATGTTCCATGACAATTGGTAATTGTTTTGTTATATAACTTGTCCCACATATGGCAGTAATCTGGAGAATTCAATTGAGAACCAAAAAAATTAAACTACTAGTACATGATTGCTTGCCAATGATCTTATTACATTCATGGCTGGCATGAACTGTTCTAGAGTGCTTGCAACCAACATGTGAGGCAGTTTGTTATTGTATACAAATTTTGGTTTGTTTTCCAAACTTTAAGAAATCACTATCAGCAATGAATTTTTAACTTCCCTGGTTCTACGCGAGTTTATGCATACACAATCAGGAAGTTGAAAGCATAAGAATTTGCTTGTGCCTTTTTGGATAAATTCCCTGATGAACTGTTTTTCCTTTTTGTACATCTGTTTATGCATTCCTGTTATAAAAACATAGACATAATTTCTTTCAAGGTTTTCAAGATTTTAGTGATGATCCCTCTTCTTCTGTTTTGTCAGGCTCAGGAGCTTTTATCACATATTGCAGTATTAGAGGTTACAGTTTCGAAACTTGAGCAAGAGATGGTATCTTTACATTTCCAACTTAGTCAAGAAAGAAATGAACGGAGGCTTGCTGAATATCATTTGAGGCGTAAACCTTCTTCGACAATTTGTTTGTCCTCTTCTAACATTGAGAAAATACAGGTAACTGAGTTGTCTATATAGATACTTTCTTGCTCTAAATACTTTATCATGCTTTCTCATTAACAGCGTTAGTCTATTTTTCCATTTCTCATTTCAGTAATAGCATTGCTATAAATGGCACTGCTGGATGGTGTTCTTATAATTGTATTATTAAATTTGGTTACTAGCCTTTTCAATTTTCTTTTCTTTTTAATTAATTGGAAGACATATTTTCTTTCTTAAATCTAGCTTGAGAGGGATTTTCATTTAATTCCATAGTTTTGTTTGCTTCTTTATTGTCCCATCATAGTTAATGTATGAATGGCGCTCTCAGATCATGAAGGCTGATTAACTGTGTATGGGAAGAGTTTCTGCTAAACACATATTGCTTTTGTGCTTCAACTTTTTGATTAATAGTAATCCTTGAACCTTTGAGGTGGAATTCCCATTGTCCTGACTTCTCGATTTCACATCCTTTGATGTTTCAGAAGTCATCCAATTCTGAATTACATCATTCCTCAGAAGATAATTCATGCCAAGGGCCAAGAGACCAACCATCTGAATCTACTAGTGAATCATCTCATGCAAAGTCAGAGGTGGAGGTACCTAGCTTCCTCCGTACCTTTTGATCCTTTAACTTTATAACAACATTGACTGAAATTGTCCATTGTTGTTAACAAAAGATGCTATTCATGTTAAAAGAAAGCATGGTTGATTAAGTTCCCTTGTTATTGGTTGTGTACAATGTGTTTATCTTGACTGTATCCCCAATCTCACATTGGGATAATAGTCAGGTCCACCTACTAGTAAATCCAAAGTTTAACTGTTAAATCTAAGTGCCCTTCATTTTACATACTCTCTCTCAACTGTTCACGTCACATTTTGTGTTAAATTGATAAAATTTATAATTGGTAGTATTGTGCACATAAACTATTATAGTTTGTGCAGACTGCAGTGGGTCCATCTGTGCTTCTGGATGGGAGGAATGCATCCACAAAGACTGATGACAATTCTTGTTCACCTGTAGAAACTAGGAAGCTTCCAAAAGGAATGCCTCCTAAGGGATTGTGGGATTACCCTAATCAGTTATCAGAAGAGATGGTAAGATGCATGAGAAATATATTTATGTCCTTAGCAGATTCAGCTGTACCATCCAAATCATCTGTGTCGGAGAGCCACTGCTCAACCCTCTCACCACGAGGACATCTTTCCAATTCATCATGGTGGTCATCATCTGATCGCTCAATTGTTTCAACATGGGTACAGAGTCCACAAATTGACATGCATAGCGGGTCTGAAGTTTTGGCATCAGAGAATTCCTTTGATCCTTACAGAGTACGTGGAAAATTAAGCTGGGCAGACATTGGAAATTATGGATTAGCAACAGAAGTTTCTTGGATGTCTGTTGGGAAGAAGCAATTAGAATATGCTTCAGGGGCACTAAGGAGGTTCAGGTATTATGTGATTCAAACCTTTTAGCTTAGAATATATTTTCATATTCATTTAATTTTGTAAGCTCAGACTTGTCATTAAATTTTTGTCATTTAGTCTTTGGCATCTTACCTGTTGGTTTATTCATGTATTATCTATTATCCTTTTCCTTTTTGCCTATTAATTTCATAGTTTATCATGTCTGTATCTTATCTATTCTCACTAGATACTTTGTACGTACTAAAGTTTGGACACATATCCAAGATACTAAATAGTCTTAAGCACCCTCACAAAATGTTTTTATACCATAAGCCAATTATTTTTCTGGTCTTGAGGAAAGTTATTGGGAATTTTAAGGGGTGACCGGTGAGAAGGGGGTTCTGGGTATATGCAACGGCAATTCCAATCTTTGCAAGATTATCTTTCTTTTTAAAATCTTCAGCATAAAAAATCCCCTAAGTTCTGGTATATTTGATGGGAGAAATTTTTGTATTTGATGGTCTTAGAGCTGAACTCATGCGTTATCAGTGATTTATTGTTTTGTAAACAGAATACTTGTGGAACAACTGGCCAAAGTAAATCCTATCCTCTTGAGCTGCAACGAGAAGCTTGCTTTTTGGATCAACCTGTATAATGCACTAATCATGCATGTCAGTTCTTTTCATTGACCTTAATTTTGTAAACATATCTATAAATATCTGCTGACATAAGCTGAACCATACATTAATGGCATACACTGTCTATGTAATGAGCAGGCTTATTTGGCATATGGGGTTCCAAGAAGTGACTTGAAACTCTTCTCCTTGATGCAAAAGGTTTGACTCATGATTGAATATCCATATTCCTTTTCAAAATCTACATTCCTCTACTTGTATCATTTTCAGCATCTATATTTGTAGATAGCACCTTAGGCTTGTTCAATTGTATTTTATCTCTATTGAAGGGCCAAAGGGGTTTACTGTCATCTTGAGTGGTTGGGATATCACCTAGGAAATCCACATGATATTTGCTTGTCCTGTTACTTTTGGTCATCTTTTGGGTTCAGGACCATGTTTAGCTTTGTTATGTTGGTGGTTGGATGTGATATGGGTTTGTGTGCATGCGGGCAGTGACCAAATTTTTTGCGAAGTTTGTGTTTGTTGTCATCGTTGTTCATATATATTATCATATATCCTCTTACTGTATCATTTTTTGCGTGGGGTGCTTTAGCAACTTCTACTTGATGATCTTTTTCTTTT